ACTGGCCTGAGGCTTGCCAAGTAGGCTAAGTTGGCTGGCCAGTGAGCCCCAAGCATTTACCTGTCTCTGTCTCTCCAGTACTAGGATCAGAATCGCGTACCACCATGCCCAACGTTTTTACATGGGTTCTGGGGATCAAACTAAAGTCTTCATGCTTGCACAGCAAGCACTTTACCAACTGAGCTATCTCCACAGCCCTCCATCAACCACTATTAACATGCCATTCAGGGAGTAAGTTTTATTTGTGCTACACACATACACATGTACAGCCATACAAACACATATGTACACATACATGCACAAGCACATTTTCAGACACACTGTAACTCAGAACAACCATCTCAGAACTAACTAAATTGGTCTGACTTTCTGTGCCAATCAAAGGGAGATGGAAGTTCACAAAAGACTGACAAGGAGAGGAAGGAGGCCAGAATGGTATGCAAACTTGGGAAGCAATCCAGTCATGGCAAACAAGCCCAGTGTCTCCAAGGGTGGGACTAACTGCAGACTGCATGCCAATCCCTCAGGTTCAAGTGCACAGGGTCAGTCCAGGTAGATGCTGAGGTAGGGAGGGGCTCAGATGGCTGGGGTCAGCTGAGTATGCTAGGTGGGAGATGGTGTGAGGCTTGGTTTGGAGGGAGTACACAAGCCCTTTTTTTCTGAGATGACCCATCCATAAGTGGCCAGGGAAATAGTTCCTAGGCTCATTTCCTAAGTGACAGCTTCCCCAGACTCTTGTACCAGAGGATCTGACCCCCAGAGCAAGACTCATCCTTGGTTTTGCATGCCTTTTGCATCTCCAGAAGCTGCTGAGCCAGGCTCTTGCCTGAGTGTCTGAATGGAACAACCTGGTCCAACAGTGAATTGTTTCAGAGCCTTATATGACAATCAAACCCAGAGGGCCCAGTAGCACAAGTCACAAGCCCAGAGACCATAGCCACATCTTCAGCTTGTCTGGTAATTCCTGGCTATACTCAGAATGGGAATGCTGTGCTAGGACTTGGTAAAAGAGTGAGACCTGGCATTGCACTGCCCATCACAGCCTTGGCATCCAAGTCTGGAAGCCCAGTGAGCAATAGCAGCAGCCACCAACTGCCACATCAGCGAAGCTGGCTGGTCTCAGCTGCACAAAGCCAGCTGGTACTGAGTCTCCAAGCTCATTCAAGATTATGGCATCTACAGGGTAGTGGCATATACCCAAAGGCACTAAAGTTCTTATTCTTATTCAACAGGGCAGACTTTCTTTGCTATCACTGTTGTGAATCAACATTAGTGCTAATCACAAGTCTTATTTAAGCACCCTCCTAAGATTGATTCTACTGTTCTTGCTGCACCTCAAGATACAGCACGGCTCCTGCCGCCAGCTTTAGCGGGCCTCCACTATCTTCTGCAATGGTAAGAACTGGTGTCAGCCTGCCACCCTGGTCTCTGGCCACACGGACCTGTGCACCCCTCGGTCCACATGCTTTCACAGTCATCTGCTTCTGGACTTGACATTCCCTGGAGGATCACACATCTACCTCTTGAACACCATCTCCCTGTTTAAGAATGTACTTGGATAAGTACACTCAAAACATCCTAAGAAATCAGGCCAGCAATATAGTTCAGCAGATAAAAGTACTTGCTGCCAAGATGGGCAACCTGAGTTCGATCCCCAGAACCCACATGATGGAACAGAATCAACTCCTGAAAGCTGTTCTTTGACCTCCACATGTGTACAGTGCTGGTCTTGCAGGTTCTGTGGTCCAGGGTAGGGCCAGCTCCGGCTATTTCCTTTGAACCTTCATGACCTACCAGGGTATAACTACTAGGCAGACTGGCCACAAAGGCTTTTCTCCAGAAGGAATTTAAAGGTAGTAATCACAAGCTATTCCACTAAAGCCAGGTGTAGATACCAGTAGTAGAGAACATTATTTCTTTACAAAACATTACAAAGAAAGATGAAATCATGCTCAGATACAGTCTCACCTAGTGTCTGCCTCCGTGGACTCAGCCTGGTAGTTAAAGGAGAAGGGAATTTGAGGTTGCCAGAAAAGTGAGTATAGTTTAAAATCAACATTTTACCTCTTGAGCTCCTCTTCTTCTTACCCCACCCCCATTTATAAACATAACCAATGAAAATTCTAAGAGCAAAATCCTCTGCTGTGTTGGTCCTCATCAGACAAGGCAGAAAAACTAAGTTGTCTGTGAACTAGGGACTTCAGCAGGAAACTGGTACTTCTGCTCCAATCTCTGTCATAGGAGTTAAGGACGTTAAGAGAAACTAGCTGCCAAAACACCCAGGTGACACTCAAAGAGGGGAGACTCTCCTGTCCAGATTCCTCTCCCTGGCCTCTGTTCCAGAATCATACTGCAGTCATTTGCTTTATCCTACTTTTAAATCAAGTAGCCAGGGAACAATTGCAAAGGCTCAGTCATGCCTGGCTTTAAAGGGTAAGTGAGTGGTGTGCCCCCAGCTCCTGGGAAGACTATTGCTTTCCTACAAGGGAAGCAAATCCAGGCTTTCTGACTTTGTGTTTCCTGACAACACCAAATGACCAACTACTAAATACTTACAAAGGGACTTCTGATAGCAAGTGTACAGAAAGTACAAGTTTGAGGACCAGCAGACCAAGGGGTCCCCTTCAGGGAGCCGCTGGCATCCTATGCTAACATTCTAAAAAGTGTACACACCGAGGAACGAAGCAAGCCTCGAAGATGCTGATTTGCCCAACAGCCAGTTACACAGTCCATACAATTTCCATATTTTCAAGTCTCCTTAGGGTAACATGAATTTAGTACCACCCATTCTCACTCTCAGTGAGACTTAGTAAAAGTCAAATCACTTAGTGGATGGGAGAGCGGAGTAACATGCACTAGGATTGCAATACATTGTATAAAGCAGGACACAGATCAATCACAAGAAGACATTTTGGAGCAAGTTGGAAGACATTATAATTATAAACTGGCTAACAGGGGATAGCAAATAATTTTTGTTCACTTAGGTGTCACAATAGCACCATAATTAATATTTTTAGAATCACACTGACACACACATATATATATATATATAATCACATGGCATTAAAATTTGCTTTAGAACACGCCAGTGAGAAAGAAAAAGGGGAGGTGATGTAAGTGTGAACTCACGGAGCACAAAGGGAGGAAATACGAGAATTCATCATTATCCCTAGTGCATATTTGAACATTTCTAGCATAAAACTTAAATAAACAATTTGGAATTTTCTAGGGCATTAGTCAGCTTTCTGATGGTCACATCTACAGCCCCCCTATCTGTTTCCCTTACAAGGCACTTCCCAATTAGTCATCCAGAGGTCAGAGGGTAGGAACTTGGGAAGAGGCCATGAAAAGCTCCCAGATGGAAAAAAATCAATAAATGAAGCGGTCCCACTGAATCTCTTGGGAAGCATCAAAATGTCAGGCAACTCGAAGGGAAGCAACACTTCAGCTCTTTCCTACTCCATCCTGCCACTGGGCTCTTTTTAACACAAAATCACAGGAGGAAACAAAATGGACCACTGAGATACAATCCCCCTAGGGACAGCCCTGAGAGCCAACCACCAGGGGCCCCATGGGCTGTGCACATTTTGTGGTGGGCTTATCAGTCATCCCAAGGACCAGGGACTGGGAAAGGGAAAAGAAAGACTCCTTAGGAAGGAGGTTAGAACTTTGTCCAAGGTAAGGTCAACACAATGAGTCTGACTTCCATGTCAGGAAAATCAATTCATGAATCCTGGGCCGTGTCCCTGGCCATTAAGTCCACAAAACATTGTGAATTACTGATTCCCCAAAGATGACACACATTCATGACCATCTAGCTGTGATATAAGAGAGGGCTCTAGCTAAGGGATATGGGTTGGAGTCAACACTGAAAACCAGGCCGTTTGAACTTCAGCAGTCTCCTCTGGGGTGAAAAATAATCTAGTGAACTGATTTTAACATCTCTGCAATCCCAAGGTCTTAATTTGGGCGTGTTTCTGACGCCACACAATCTGGTAACTGAGCCCCCCTCTTCCCGCCACCTGCGCAGCTGCACACCCCTCCACCCTGCACTCCCGGTTTTCTGGTGGTCTTCGTGGAGGCAGGGTGAAGAGGGATGGAGAGAAATGACTTCGTTTGTTTCTTTTAGTCATTTTAATGGTAGAGCCGAATACAGAGACACTTCGGCCAGGCCGCTACACCCTAAGGCTCTGAGAATTTGCTTTGCCGGGGTGGGAGAGGTGGGCGGCGTTGGGGTGGGGGGGATGTAATCACCAGGAGAGGACTGGGTGGGGATAGGAAGAGCTGGGCAAAGGGCGTGCGTGGAAGTGGCAAGTACTGGGAACCTCAGGAATCACACAAGGTTGCACGCACACACCCCACCCTACCCCGGTTCACTTCTGTGGGTTCTTTCCTACTGTGCCGCCTCGGTGATTACGGCGGAAAGAGGGTCACTATCCCAGGACCAGCCAGGGAGGCCTGGGAAGGAATACTTGGCATGTAGACCCCCCCGCGCCCCCGGCTCCGGCCCGGCTCACACAGCTCTTCCACTCGGTCGAGCCTTTCCAGAAGGCTGGGCTGAGAAGGAAACACAGTTGCAGGCTGTGCGCTCTACAGCTGCTTGACCCGGGGATCCTCACAGCCACCTGAAGTGCTCCCTCTGCTCCTTACCCACAATTCACTCCACACCTCAAAGCCAGAACTCGGGTCTCTGATACAGCTCCCCAGTGTCCCGGCCCCAACCTGCACCCTCAGAGCATCCAGCGCTCCCCGAGGGCCCTCTGGCTCTGTCCTGGCCCGCCACGGTTCCCGGGGAGACCAGAAGCCAAGGACCCAGGCGAGGTGGTCTGGGCGGGGTTGCCAGTCTGGGGTGGGGTAGGAGGACCTGTCAACCCGCACGTCCTCCTGCATTCCTTCCCGGAGCTGGGCGGAGAGAGGGGCCAGAGGGGGATGGAACCTGGGGATGCTCCCGCTAGCTCCCGGCCGCCGCGGGAGGGGATGAAGGGGTTAGGCATCCTTACTTGGCAGCAGGGGTCCGCGGTGGCCAGGCAGGAACTGGGCTCTCGGAGGGAGCCCCTCTCCGCGCAGATCGCCGCTGCACCCCTTTCCCAAGCAGGGCGCCCGCCGAAGAGCTCGGCGAAGTTTGGGCAGCCGCGCGCTGCAGTCCCGGGTGGGTCCTTTCTCCTGTGGTTTTTATCAGAATCTGCGCAAACCCCTCCCCCGACCCCAACTCGGCCCAGAAGGCGGCCACCCGGTTTAGCCCGGCCTCCAGATCCCCTTTGTTGAAGT